AAAAAAAAAAAAAAAAAAAGGAAAGCAGCATTTTTCTTCTGCATAGTAATGTTTCAAAGTTGTACTAAATCAATGTTCAGTTGTAAACTTTTGAGAGAACAACCATAACGTTTTGTTCAGAGTTACAAACAACCTCCATTACCGAGGAGTTTGTAACTCTGAGGTAGTACTATATCAGAAGGACAATTATAACTTATTTTTTTAACTGGGTCTGTTTCCTGCTCCTCCTCCAAGTTTTCCTATATCCTCATGTTCCCTCAGATGTGAGATTATGCGGTAGGGCAGAGAACAAGACAATTTTCCTCTGCAGCTCTTTGTCTCTGGAACATCCTAATTGTGTCTGTCTTGAAGCTCCATAACATTGTAATTCTCAATGATAATCTAGTGGGCCAAATTCATGCCTGGTTTAACTCTGTTAAAGTCAGCAGAATTAAATGAGGCTTGAATTTGGCTTTTCTTTCTCTAGTTTAATTATGTCTTAATTTTGCTCTCCCTCTGTGTGCAGTTTAACTTTGTAACTGTGTTTAATGCCAAAAAAATTTGGAAAATGACTTGTATAAAATATACTACATAAAATGAAATTGTGTCCTAATGTACCTTTTTAATTTTGAATAAAGGTTTCGTAGTGATAATGGTGAAAGTGTTTATTGAAAACTAGTACTAAAATAATTTCTGCTGATGTTGGAATGAACAGTGATCTTAGCTGCTTGAATGTTTTTAATATATGATCTGATTCCATACTAAATGAATTCTTTTTTTCTATGTAATAGGCTTTGCTGAACAACTCACATCTGTATCATTTGGCCCATGGAAAGGATTTTGCTAGTAGAGGAATTGAAAGTGAGTATGCAGTACAAGTTAGTGGTATTGCAAACAAGCATGGTTTCGTGGAGTGTCTTTTAAATATGCAAATCTTTGACTACTTTAACTGCTTGAATAGGTAGTAAGAAAACTTAGCAGGTTTTCCAAAATCAACTGAAATGTTAGAGACTTGTTTCTATTCCTTGAAATCAGCTTCTTCGATAATTTTGACTTAGAATGTTTCATGTATTGCTGTAACAAAATAGAACTGGCCTCTAGCCATATTTGAAAAATATAAGGTTATTTTTTGTATTTTGATGGCTGAATGCTGTCTTTAGCCGAGTTAGTGGGGGTCATTCCGCACATCTTACTGTGACATACAGAACTCATTTGTTTTCAGATAACTTTTAAGTTAAGAGATGGATAAAGACACTGAAATACAAGGGAAAAGTAAAGCTGTATTAAAAAATTATAGTTACAGGAATCCACTTGAATTTAGAGAAGATGATGGAGCAGAAAAGTGGTGCAGTGAAGTCCTTGACAGGTGGAATTGCCCATTTGTTTAAACAGAACAAGGTTAGTTTGGGCTGTTTGTCCGTCATATTGTTTTTCTGGGTAAATTTCTCCTTTTCTATTAAATCTACTTTTCACCTCAGAGATTAATTAGAATGGGTAATGAATGATCAGCAGTGATGGAATTTGACCACTTCACTTTTGGGAAGACTTGATTATCTGCAGTTCACTATTTTTATATTTAGAGTTATTTTTTCCTTTTCTTAAAAGAAGGGTGTCACATTATTTTCCAGTTTGTAATGTAGTGATATCAAGGTTAGTTTATCCGTGGAGAATTCATGCTTCGCTAGAGATGTATTGAGATTCAAGTTATTTTGGTTGTAAAATATTTATGCATTAATTTAAATTGTGAAAGTTTGTATTTACTGTATTCTCATTTGTAAAGGTCGTACATGTGCCTGGATTTGGAAAAATAACTGGCAAAAACCAAGTCACAGTATCCAAAGAGGATGGTAGCACTCAGGTTATCAATACAAAGAATATCCTCATAGCCACGGGTTCAGAAGTTTCTCCGTTCCCTGGAATTACGGTATAATTTAAATAGTAACCTTTAATGGTACAGTGTTTTTCATTATTGTGTTATTACTGGTTGTCATTATTGAGTAACAATTTTCTATAGTTTATTAGTTATTGCTGTGAGATAGCTATTTTAGACAGTTTGAATTTTTTATGTAGTATACAGAAAATCTGTGTAAACTTCCTTCTTGAGGAGGTAAAAAGCTTTCTCCTTTGTCCATTATTAGATTGATGAAGACACAATTGTATCATCAACTGGTGCACTATCCCTGAAACAAGTCCCTGAAAAGATGGTTGTAATTGGTGCAGGAGTCATTGGTGTGGAGTTGGTAAGAGGCTTATTTATACAACTTATGCTTCTAGTAGATAAAGAAACAGGATGTAACCATTTGGCACAGATGGATCTGGAATTACAAATGTTAATCTATACATTGTGTTAGTATTTAATAGGGGATGATATGGCTGAGGGAATTTTTAATGAGAGAGCGAGCGAGCATTTCCTCTCCAAGTCACTGGTTAGATCATCCCACATTGGCAGTGAGCAAGAGTTATGATCTGATGGCTGAGTGATAGTCTATATGAAAAGCCAGGTTGTAGTTCAGTTCTCAGTAGACAAGTGTCCACATTATTAAAACTACTGTAACTTGTTGGCAGTCTCAGCAGAGAGTTGGGGGATTGGATGAGCATAAAAGGTGAAGTACATTCTTGCCTCTAAAGCTCTCCCAGTTCAGTGTTATGGGGAAGCTTGCACTGCAATTGCCCCTGCTGAACCTGCTCTGTACATTAATAGAGAACTTCACTGTAAAGAGCTGTCATTTTAGCACCTTTAGAAGCATAAACACACTTGCAGCATTTAACAACAGGAAATCTTGTTGATAGGCTGTTTGTTTATCATAGCTAATAACCAATGGAGTAACATTTTGGGATTGAAAGAGGCCATGCAGCACTTCTAGGTCTGTCTCCTTTCTCCCCCTGTACCCTGCCCATCCCCACATAGATCTAATATTTTAAAAATATATTCTTTGGCCTTACAAAACTATCTTGAAAATTTGGTCAGATCATGCCATGCCCAGCCCAGGCACAAAATCTACTCACCAGCCTTTTACCTTGATTTTAATGGGGGAAAAACTGCAATATTTTACTTTCTCTCTGAAGTGTATGGGTGTGAGTGGGGGAGACTTGCTTAAGACAGGTAGATTTTTGCAAGGGTGATGATGATGGTTATAGCTCTTGCTTTTGCAATTGCTTATGCACTTTTTGGGGCAGTGACTTGGACAGTGAGTTCTCTTAAGTAAAATTAAAGCTATCTGGCATTGTTTTGATAGGTATCTACTTACAACATTTAGTTCTATTGCCAAGGCAACCAGTGAGCGAAGTAGTGTGCACAGCTAGTCTACATGGAAATGAGCTCACGTTATTGTGTGTCCTCCCTTCACTATTCCTGTGCCCCAACTTTTGCATGTTTGTTTCATACTCCATTTGCATCTTATTGACCTAGACTAGGGATCTCAAAGTCAAATCACCACAAGGGCCACATGAGGACTAGTACATTGGCCCGAGGGCCGCATCACTGAAACCTTTTCATACAACGATACAAAAGTATAGTCAAAAATGAAAAAAATGAAGAGTAATATAGTATGCTATTAAAAGTCAATGTATTAACTTTTTTAAAACTGTAATGCCAAGAGGGGTTTTAATAAAATATAAACACCTGTAACTATTCCTTATGTGGTCAGTAATACTGACGATTATCTACACAAACAGTCTATCAACATAGCTGTAATGGCAGGAACTTTATAACATAACTAGTCATACAAAATACTTTGCCACTTTTAACAAACATTCTTCCCAACTACTCACAGCAAAGAATCATACATGCTGAACTTCATACCTCAGACTGCTTGTCTAGTCCATGAGGCCCTGCCCCTGCCTCATCTCTTCCCACCCATTCCCCGCCCCCATTCCAACCCCTTCCCCAAATCCTCCCCCTGGCCCTGTCTCTTCTCCGCCTCCTCCCCTGAGCACACCGCGTCCCCGCTCCTCCCCCCTCTCCCCTGGAAAGTCCTAAGTGCCACCAAACAGCTGTTTGGCGGTGGGAAGTGCTGGGAGGTAGGCGGAGGAGTGGGGACGCAGCGTACTGGGGGGGGAGGGGAGCTTGGCTGCCAGTGGAGTTGGCACCTATGGCGGGCTGCAGGAAATAACTCCGGTCCATGGGCTGCATGTTTGAGACCCTGACCTAGACTATAAGATCTTTGGGATAAGGACTGACTTTTTATTACAAATTTGTACAGCACCTAGCACCACAAGGTCACAGTCCCTGTGACTGTAATACATATAAACAATCTAATACATACATATTCCCAGGTGGAGTTATGGGCACATATCATGTTTAGCACCATTGTAGTGCCCCAATGAAGGCCTTGTTATGCTATGCATTGCCCCATCCTGAAGAACTTACAATCTAAGCAGTAAATATTAAACCATGGAAGATTGCAGTTTCTCTTTCAAAGGTGTTTTTCTTTTTTAAAAACAAAATAATGGTTTATTGTATTGACTGCAGGGTTCAGTTTGGCAGCGTCTTGGTGCAGATGTGACAGCTGTTGAGTTCTTGGGCCATGTTGGTGGAATGGGTATTGATATGGAGATCTCTAAAAACTTTCAGCGCATCCTTCAGAAACAAGGACTCAAATTTAAACTAAATACCAAGGTTACTGGTGCCACCAAGAGGCCAGATGGAAAGATTGATGTTTCGTAAGTGCTTAACACATGAAATACAGGCCTGATATATCCTTCCCTACCAGAAATCTAACTAAAAGTACAGCTTTAGATTTGGGGTATAATTTACTGTATAAATAAAACTACAAACAATGACAGTGGGACATGAATCCAAACATCAACTAAATTCAAAGCTAAGGCTGGTTTAAACTGTATTCCTAACTTATTCAGTTGTTACAGTGCACGTGGGGATATAAAATTACATAGTTTTTTGGAACTCCAGTATCTTACTTAATGCCAGACGGGGTGAATGAAGGATGCAATTTCAGTCCCTACTGAGTACCTTACAGTTTGGAAGTTTAAATTAGGCCTTTATTTCCCTGATCCTACAGTCACTTTGCGGGCAAGACTCCCATTGACTTCAATCTGAAGAATTGCCAGGGTAAAGACATTGGTGTCTTAGTGAAAATAGTAAAAACAAAATCAAAACCTCACCTTTATTGGAAGACTTTCCCTCTGATACAGCATCAAAATAAGTATTTTTATTCTTCAGAGGATGCATCTCCGTGAATCCATTAATTCTTGACTCTTTGGTAACTGGTGTTGAGGTAAGGGTCATCTTGTCCATTATAAATTTTCTGGAGGCAAGGAGAGCTATGCGGAGCAATCCAGAATAGAAGATAGTAAACTCTCCAGTAGTGCATTTTCATCACTAAACTGAAACCCACAGAAGGGATTTCTAATAGAAATGCTGATATGAAAACATACAGAACAGATACTTCATGAAAAAAAACCACACTTTGATGCTTTACCTGTATTTTCAGATTGTTTTCTCCCTGTATGGTGTTAGCACACCAAGGAAACTTAACATGAAATATGAATTTTAATGTCTTCAGAACTTATTTGCTTCTGTCCCATCTAGAAGTCAAAATTTTGTCTGACAATATAACGCTTAATACATAATTTTCCACTGCAAGCACTAGTGATTTTTCAAATGACTATGAATTCAGGTGTAGGAAGGAACATAAGGAGTAAACAGCCTTTTTTTTTTTTTTTTTTTTAAAAATAGAAAAGTAGTATTGGTTTATTAATGAACAGTATTGGTTTATTAATGAAAAATGAACAGTTACATTGACTGTACACAGAAATTACACTTTGTACACTTGTCCATAACAAATATAGAAATAAAACAGTATAACCTTGTCCTTAGCTCAGAGAGGTAGAACTGAAAGTAAATGAACTACTGAGCATGGATACCACAGAAGCACTCAGATACTGTGGTGATGGGAGCAGCTTATGGACCTAAATAAAATAGTATAACTCAATAATAATATAGTAGCAGTGCTTTATAGATTTCTGATACAGATGAACTCTGAAAAGATCTTGAGATCCCTGCCATCTGCAACTGTGGGCTATCTAAACAAAATCATCTCTCAATAGAGTGATTTCAAGCATTTCCACAATGCTGTCTAACTTTAGAGGTACAATGCTGTGTCTGTTGTTTCAGTATTTCTAGTATAAAAACAGAGGATGCAGGATAAAATATTACTCAAATAATTGTGTAAATTTATGAAACTCATAGTTTATGCTTTAGTTTAGTATATCACTTAATTGTAACAAGAGATTGTAGTATGAGGTGAACTTAAACCGCAAGCCCCGTTTTGATATTCTTAAGCATACTATAGTTTGAAATAGTTTCTTGCATTTTATTGAGACCTTTCAATGCCCGTTCCTCTTCACTGCTGTCTCTATATCTAGTGATTAGTCAAAGAAGTTACCAGGTCTCAATTATATTTAACATCTTCATGTTTTCTTGTAAGTGGTATCTGTTGACAGTTACTTTTTTTTCTTTTCCCTATCCTTCAGTATTGAAGCAGCTGCTGGTGGAAAGACAGAAGTAATCACCTGTGATGTATTACTCGTTTGCATTGGTCGACGTCCTTTTACTCAGAACCTAGGGCTGGAAGATATTGGAATTGAACTTGATAACAAGGGTAGAATCCCAATCAATACCAGATTCCAAACCAAAATTCCAAAGTAAGCAAGATGTTTAAAACAATTTTCATTAGCTTCCAAATAGTCACATTTTACTTCATATATTCCTAGCAAAGATAACAGAATTTTTATTTAGCATGAGAGATCTTTTTAAAAAAGAAAGAAAAAGGTTAATTACCCTACAAAAATACTACTTTTCGTTTTTAATAGTGGCTGACTATAGTTTAACTTGTTTAAGAAAAGGAAAATTCAAATTTACACTTCCAAATAAATTGCTACCGCCTATGGCGTTTTAGAAGCACAAAGGAGGTAGAGCAGTGTACAGGATGTGGCCTTTAGTTTTCTCTTGGGTTAAATCTGGTCATACATGAAAAGTAAGCATTTCATAAATTACAGTAAAGTTTATAAAGTTATTTGAAAAAATATAACTAGCGCTAATCTATAGAAAATAGCTGTTCAACTTAAATTGGAGGGCTAATCTAGCAAATTAAGTACAGAAGCAATACACATTGGGTAATTATTTTCATCTGTTTTTATTAGACTTTCTGTTTACAAACATGTTTAAACTACTACATTTATCATATAATATATCTAAAATTCTCCATATGTACTTTTTAAACAGCCATGTTTTGCTCTTTTTCATTTGTTTCATAGCATCTATGCTATTGGCGATGTAGTTGCTGGGCCAATGTTGGCTCACAAAGCTGAGGATGAAGGCATTATCTGCGCTGAGGGGATAGCTGGAGGCGCAGTTCACATTGACTATAACTGTGTGCCCTCAGTGATTTACACACACCCTGAAGTTGCCTGGGTTGGCAAATCAGAGGAACAGTTGAAAGAGGAGGTACTGTCTGGTTCTCTTTGGATCATATTACTTTAGGGTCTTGGATAAGTTAAAGTAAATGCATTTATGCGTTGTGGCTGCTCTGAATCACCATAGATGTGTGTTCCAAGAAAAATATCATGTATTCACTCTCAGTGCTCTGATTTAATAAGGCTAGTATCTCAGCATCAAACAGGGTTGAGTCATTGTGAAAGTTCACCCATTGCAATGTGTTATCGAATAGTTGTTAATTGGTGATATTCATCTCTCCCTGTTGCCAACGTTGTGTAAAGCAGATGCAATTCATAACCCGGGAGAAAACTCTTCACAGTTTATAACAAGCTTTTAGTCTGAAATGACCTCTTTTTGTGGTTTAATTTTATCACGGGTGTTTGGGGAGATATGTGCTATTACTGAGCAGTGCATTCAGCAGGCGTGTAAGATGCAACTGCACGCTGTGGTTCAAAGCACACTATGCCTAGCATACTGAGTCTACCTGCACAGTCATTGGAGGTCTGAAAAGCATATATTAGGGGAAGAGTCTGCAAGTGCATATTGTAGTTAGTGCAGATGAGGTCTTAGTGCCATCAAAATGGGATCTGCTGCAGACCTTGTCTTGAAAAGCCACTACTCCTGCTGGAAGTGGGAGTACAGCTGGCCCTGTGAATAGGGCACCAGGGATAGTAAATAGTGCCACACCAAAATATGTCCTCTTGCAGTCTCTCTGTTGCTCTCCAAGTGCAGCTACTCTGCCCCCAGGCAGGATTGGCTTTGTTCAGGCCTGTAAATGTTAAAAACGTCTTGTCTAGCTGGGAATGCCAGATTATGGGGGTGGGTTGATTTGTTTTTTTATAAATTGGCATCTGTATAACACTCCTTTGCAGTAAGAAAATATTTGATTTGAAATCCTCACCTGTTCTAATTATTTACATTCGAATTCATGGTTTCTCTTTAATGATTTTTCCAAACATGAAGCAACAATTTAAGAGCTCTAAACTGGTCTCTTGTGAGAGGTAATTTAAATGGTGCTGAATGTCTTTAGTTCATGTCCAAAGTAAGATGGAGCAGTTACTCTTTTACAATTCATGCTAGTGAACTACTATTCTTGAGTCATGTTTTATCCAATACTGGTAACAGGTGTTAAACATTTGTGAGTGTTTTATGAATGGAGAGCAATGCAAATAGTACAATGTAATAATTGTCAGTCAGGTGGGAGCTAACCAAGGGTTTACATTAGTCAACTAGGTCATCTAAGCTACAGTTTCAAGTGAAAAATGAAGTATACCTGAATTTATGAATGTGTACAAATATAATTCATGCTGAGTATATTAGGTAAGCACCTTAGAGCAGGAACTGTCTTCTATGTATTTGAACAGTGTCTGCACAATAAAACTTCCACCCACTCCTGCAATATACACATTCACTAGTCCTTTGTGTTTCTGCAGTACACTGTGTAAATTGTCAGTGACCCATACCTATATTCTATAGGGGACAGAATACAAAATTGGAAAGTTTCCATTTGCTGCTAACAGCAGAGCTAAGACTAATGCTGACACAGATGGCTTGGTGAAGATACTTAGTCAGAAAACAACAGACAGGATGCTGGGCGCTCACATTCTAGGCGCAGTGAGTATTATAAAAGATGGGAACCTCTTTCCCAGTTTCTCGGCTCCAATGGTGATAACTTATAAATTAAGAATTGTGTTTTTGTATATCTGAAAAATGTTAATCTTCTAGTTACCAGGTTTTGAGAGGCAGAAGTGTCCTTCAAAAAAAAGAAAAAAAATCAGGCCAAGCTTTGAGTCTCTTGAAGTCACTGTATTTAGTATTTATTTTACATACTTTATTAACTCTGAATTAGACCTCATCATTTTCTGGCCAAGGAAGGCTGGATGCCACTTCTTTTTGGGTTAATCAGGTCTTCTCCTTGAGTCTCCAGGAGGGGGCGGTACAGAACAATGTGAAGTGTTGATCCATGCCATGGAAACTGAGCTAGCATCTCAAACAATAACCACCAAGAGAAGCATGGGTCAGAATGACATTTCTTTTGCCTTCCTGGCAATTTGTATACAATTGGGGTATTGTTCACCACTGCCATCAATATCAAGAGCGAGTTTTTGGTTGAATGTACACTTGCATTCTGTCATTATTTACTCTGGTGTAAATTATTATAGCAGTCCAAGGTAGTCAATGTATAGAACAGTGCAACTGTTTTGTATTTTTATCCTTTCTCAACTATACTGTGTATGTGTGACAGGTGTGGGTAGAGTCATTGACTAAATTAACCAGATGCTAATACTTAGCACTGCTGAATGTGATTAGTTTTTTAGCAAAAGACAAAGCCTACAGGCAAGCTGGCTGTTTCATAGCCAGCTAGTAAGTTAGAAAAGCTTATGCATAGTTTACATGTCTTTGCAATTGTACAGTTTGCACTAATTATACATGTGTTACTTACAGGGTGCTGGGGAGATGGTTAATGAAGCTGCTCTTGCTATGGAATATGGAGCATCATGTGAAGATGTAGCCAGAGTTTGCCATGCCCATCCAGTAAGTTGGCATTAAGTAATTTATCATTCTGTAATTTTTTTTCTTAGTGTTTGGCGTATAGCATATACAATTACATAAGAGTTAAATACTTGTTCCCTCATTCTGTTCTAATGACTTTTACCTTTGTTTTTGCTTCCTACAGACTGTCTCGGAAGCCTTCAGGGAAGCAAACCTAGCAGCATCTTTCGGCAAAGCTATCAACTTCTAAAATGCAAGCACAATCGTTTGTACATATATAGCACATTTCTTCTGAAAATGGACTGTTGGCTTTTGCAGAAGACTGGGTCTTCTTTGAGTATTTCTAGAACTGAATTAAGTGAATTTCTTTTGTTTAAACATCAAATATTTAAACACATTTGGTTTGGAACAAGTGGAATTATCCAGTCGCTGTATATTAATACACTTAGAAACTTGTTTGTGCATCATGGGTATTTCGGAAAACAAGCTTAAGAGTCAACAATTAAAAAAACCCAACATGTCGCTGTTGCACAGCATAATGAGGACCGCTGGCCACAACTCATGGCTAATACCGTCCTGGTATCTGGTATATTCTTATTTGAAATACTGATATTCCAGTGGAATGCTGGCACTTAAAAATGCCACTGTCACCTGTGCACAAAGATGTTGTGGCATTCTTTTATGTGAAATCTTTCACTATATATTAACTCTTTTTTCCCCCCTGAAATGCAGAAACCAAACCTTTTGGTTACTTTGATCTAGTAGAGTTGGGATTACTTGGATGAGGCTATTTACTGCGGGTGAATTGAAGCTTATCTTTATTTGTAGAAAGCTAATCTGGCAGTGTTTGTACCCTTTATCTCCATGCATCATGTTTTCATATTGAAAACATGTCTGTAAAATTCTACTTTAACTTGCAAAAAAAATCAAGCGTTTATGGAGAAATGAAAATTCAGTGGAGGAAAATTAACTGAATGTTATTGCCACATATGGTAATCGTATCAGTCTTCTCATTTCTAAGGAATTTTCATCATTCAGAGATGGTTAAAATTATCCTGAAGTGCTTTAAAAACATATGCTACTGATCTCTGTATTGATTTGTTCTCTGTTGAATAATGGCAATATGATCAGCATTTGGCTACTCAGTATTTTTAGGAAACTGTAAACAATAGCAAAACTCTGAAATTAATATGCTTTTCTGTCTCTTCTGACCTGTCTTCAGTATGTGCGGAGGTGGATTGAGGCCAGCGCCCTCTTTTGAGGCTGTCTCAGTGTTCAGAGCTGGCTGAATGCACCCATGAGTTGGTGAGAGAGCCAGAATAAACGTGGGTTTACGTGAAGGTGATAGCAAGGAGTCCCCAAGGGAAGCAAAGATTAAGTGTGTTTTGTGAAACTGGGGAGGGAGGAAGAAAGATCTGGGACACTTGGAATGGAAAAAAAAGCCTTACATTTTAGTGGATCCAGGACACATTTACTTCTAATCCACCTCTGTCTTTTGGATAAATTCTTTGGAGTCGTCCCCTGGCATATTGCAAGCTTTCTATATGTCCCTTCTGCAGAATGCCTGCTCTCTACTTACTAGAGCTGGCCAAAACAATGGGAAACTTTTCCACAAAATCTTGTGAAAAACTCATGTTTTTTTTTTTTTAAGGTCTCTCTGCCTGTTTGAACACCAGCCTGAATTTTTCCACAAATTTCATCTTGTTTTTGTCAAAACAGAAAACTTAGGAAATTGACTAGCTCTACTACTTACTAATTTGTTTGGAGGTCTGGTTCTCCCTGACCTCTCTAAATAAATAAAATTCAAGCCCTCACATCTTGTTAATGTATCGTTTTTCTCTCTCCATGCCATTCTCCCCCAACTATTCATACAAAGGAATATCTGTAAAGGGTAGAGAAATAAAATGAGAATACTAAGAACCACATTTAAAGGAATAACTGACAGCAGGTCTGTATGCTTCAGCACTGTTCTAACAAATGCCTGATGTTGGCAAGAAATTAAACACAATGTGAGAACTTGATACATACAACAACAAAAAACCTTGCAGATTACATTGCTGTAAGTATCCAATTTAAGTGGGAATAGAGATTGGAGTAAAACTTCTTTAGCTGAACTTATTTTTCCTGCCAAAAATATTTGTTTCAGTGCCATACAATGGAGATCTTGAGTCAAACTCTGATTTTCACCAACATTAGTTAAAGTATTAGTGAGTGAAGCATAGTTATGTCTTGACTACCAAAATATGCAGTGCATGTAGTTACACATTTTGGAAAGTCTTAGTAGGAGATGGCTGCTATATAGCCATGTACTTGAGAATTTCTCAAATATGTAACAGTTTTAGACAAACTGAAGCCGAGGGAAAAATTTATGACTGGCAGTATGTTTTAATAGACTTCCCTAAACTCATGTATGCAGTGTTGTATGAAGCCATGTGGGTCCCAGGATATGAGAGATGAAGAGTTCTTTGTAAGCTCAAAAGCTTTTCTCCCCCCGAGAGAAGCTGGTCCAGTAAAAGATATTACCTCACTCACTTGCTAAACTCATGCTGCAGTCAAGAAGGATACTGGCTAACATGGTTGAAGACCACATTGACTGCTGCAAACATTTTCAAATGACTGAAGCAGGATTTTCTTGTATATGTTTCTAATACTCATCGCTTTGTCTTTCAATCTTTATACCTGTACAATGCAGGCTACCAGTGTTTGTTTGTGTGCATTAGTCTTTAGGCATTGTGGGCTCTGCCCTCTATTGTAGAGAAAACCAAGATGTGATACAACTAGGCCTCTGTACAAAGGCAAATGGGCAAATTAATTTAAAGGATGGTGAAGCCATTCACATGATTTGGTATCTTTTTTGATAAAGTTTTGGTCCCAGAAGCTCATCTTGTCCTATGTTCTTTATGGAATGAGAGGTTGGACACTGTGGTGCTAGAAATCCAAACTGGTCTCAATTCTGACTTTTTCAACCCACATGAGAAACATTGTTTGTGAACAATGAAGTGAAACTTGTGTGACAAAACTACCAGCTAATTTGAATTTAAGTGAACATCCTGTAGAAAGTAAGTATTCAAATAGAAATGCTGACTAGTAAAACAACTCCCCCCCCCACCCCCCAAAACTTAAGCAGGAACACCAGTTCTTCACTACTACGCTAAATCGATCTAAATTACACAGCTTCAGTTATGTGAATAACATAATTGAAGTCTACTGAGTTAGATCCACTACATGGTGCTGTGTTGACAGGAGAGCGTCTCCCATCATCTTCCCTTATGCTTCTCGGGGAGGTGGAGTACACAAATTGATGGGAGAGTGCTCTCCCATTGATTTAGCATGTCTTCACCAGACCCTCTAAATCGACACTCGCTGCATCGATTGCAGCAGTGCAGATCTACTGGTAAGTGTAGACATGCCCAAAATGTGGTTTGTTTGTTTTTTAAGTCACCCTTCTGTATTTCACAGAAAATGGAGCCGCCTTAGTCAAAATTAACTTGTTAAAAGCCCACCTTTTGGAGCTAAGATTTTATTAGAACAGTACTCTAATTGGGTTAAACAAGATTTGTTTAAGCTGAAGAAATAATTGATTTACTATTCCAGCTAGTAACAGTAACAATGAAGTTAATTAATCATACTAGATACATACAGTGGTACAAAAGTACTGTTTTTATTTTCAACATAAGAAAAAATTACTCTTTGGTTTTGTAACTTTAAAAAGTGAGAAACCTGTCAAGATTACCAGGTCTTAGTGTGATGTCAATGAGAACTAGTTTATCAAACTTAATACTTTTAAGCTCATCCAGGATACATTGGGTCCAGACTGTTTCCCAAGTTACAAGCAGGTGCTGTATACTGCAACTTTCTGGCTGATTGCCTGTAAGAGGGAGCGCACTGTTTCTTCTAGCTCCACCAACTGTTTGGCTTTGTCTTCCAAGACTTTCTGATTGTTCTCATATGTGCTTTCCAAATCTGCAGGGAAAAGGGAGAAAAACTATCAACAGATGACTATCAGCTGTTTTTTGGGCAGTAAAATCATACCCGTATTTAAAGTGTTAATTCTGATCTTTGAGATAGAAAGCCTGAGATTAGATGATACAAATCTGGGCCTGACAACTTGTCTCATAATACTGTGGAAACAATGGGGAGGAAGTACTTACCTATAAATGAAAACGTACAGCTGTGTCCTTTAATTCATGTTGTAAAAATGGCTTAGGGATTCTGCACAGACTTGAAAGGACACTAGAGAGTGTGTTGGCTTAGTTATGGTCAGACTATTCAGTGAATCATGGCAAATAAGGGATTGATGTAAGGAAGAGTGGTTGGGGGTGAGTACAGCTTCCCCATGTCTGGTAAAAGCAGACAAAGTTCCCGTTCCACCCTGGTTGGTAAGGTGAGAGCTCCCCCTCCTGTTTCAATGTACAGCGCTAAATGTGGAATTCTTAAAACTGTTCTGTTGGAGTTAACTTCAATTTTTAAAAAGCAACTCTGCCAGTATCACTTTGGGTTATGATCGTGACAGATCTTTCTAGAATAACAGTGCTTGGATGGGAGATATCCAAGACTAAGGTGCTGCAGGAAATCACTACTTTTAGTCTTGCAAGGTGCCATGGCACTTGACATAAATTATGTTCTACCTAATCCTCCCAGCTGAAGTTTTAATTGGATACAATTTTCATTTTCTTTCCTAAAAGAGTTGTGCAATGTTATGTGCTGTTGATCAGTGACTGCATTTCTCCCAAGAAATGGTTGCACCACACTGGTGGGTGAATTGATCTCTGTAAGTGTGTAAAAGGATGTTTGGATCATTAGAAAAGTGTTCCATATACTGTGTACATAAGTGTGTGAACCACCAGCAATTAATGTAATTGGTTAAAAGTTCATTTTATTTCCTTTCTCCAGCTGCTGAACATTAGCACAGTTCATTCTGCAACCTGAAACATTACTTCAAAATCTGAAAGGAAAACCTTTTCTCATGCAGGCAGTCTTACCCTTGAGCAGCTGGAGTTTGCTGTTTGCTTGAGCTAACAATGATTTAGCTTCATTCTGCAGCATTCCAGCTTTTTTCCTGGCATCAGCAGACTCTTCTGTTTTTTTGGCAATTAGGTTTTCAACTGTTTTATAGTTGGCATGCAGTTCACTGTCAAGTACCTGCAGTTTCAAATTCACAACACAAGGTGGGGTTATTGCTCAGAAAACTGCAAAGAAAATGCCTGTTTCACCACTTGAACAGATAGTTCCACAGAAGCAGCAGAAGTTTCAGACTGAGACATTACTAGTAAGGATGTAGGAATGAAAGATTTGACAGCACAAAGTGTGTTCTAGTATTAGTGCAGCTCTTGGCTCAGTTGTCCCAACGTTCAGCTTTTGCTTTAGTTACCTCCCCCCCTTAATATTAGCATTCTCATTCATGTTTAATGCCTGCTAATGGCAGACACTTCTGGTGATCATCCACCCTTTCTAGTTATGTGGCTGGTCTGTTTCAATATCTAAACTTTCATATGCTGTACAGGATTCAGCCACAGAATTCATGACTAGTGAGAGCAAATCCTGCACAGCTTTCCAGTGTAAGGGTGATTAACAGGTGTTGCTTCGAGAAGTGCAGATTCAGTACAGAAGTGACCATGGCATCGCTCCTATTGTTGACAATTGCCAGACAGGAGCAGTGTCAAATAGATGGAGTTGAAAATAGGGCACCGTGTTTTTTTATTTATATATATATATATATATATATATATATATATATATATATATATATATATACACATACACACAATCATGAACAGCTCTAGAATTGGTGGTTATCTCACCTATAGTGACTCATGAAGTCACAAGCACTTCCCAGATGTTACAGAAAACACAAGGCTAGTGTCTCAGCTGCACTTCACTTTTTTGCAGCGCAGAAATCTCCTGCAAGTCTCCAAATATCCCTGGCAGGGAGGAGGCCCCATCAGGTGTAGAGCTGGCAAAGTCAGCTCCTACATCTCCCTCCCTCCCTGCAATCCCTGGCCAGGGCAAGTGTTGGGACAGGTAGTGGATGCACCAGACAATCTGGTCTGTAGATTAGAATCCAGAAAACTCACCAGCAGTATGAGCAGCATGAAATGTGCCATCTACAGCATGGGTAGGATCTAGGGAAATTGTCACTACTACGGCAAGGTTCCTGACAACATTTGTTATCACTCTTTTTTCTGTCTTTCCTCCTCCCATGCTAAATAATCAGACTCTTGTACTTGTTATTAAGCAGCATTTCAGAGGCCCCTTGTTTAAAACTAAGTGTTGCTTAAAGGTTAATTCCAACATCTTCACTCTTTTGGGAAAGGGAAGGCTCCTTTGAGACAGATGACTTTATTGTGGACAATAAGATTGGAGCAGTGAGACTTCCTTTGACACACAACTTTTGTTTTCAATTGTTTGAAGGCTGAAATCAGAATCCTTCTTAAAGGTACTGACTTTGGAAGAGACTCCATATAGACACCGCTTAGAAAGACACTGCTATGCTTGCAGAACATTTGACGCTTTAGATAACTGCTTACCAAACACTAACTAGAGGAGCAGGCTGGCAAGTGTTACATTGAGAGATGGAATCTTTTCTCCAGTGACTGAAGCAATGGGGGAATTCCCTTCAAAGTGCCAAGTTACAAGTACCTTGTTTGACAGCTGAATAATGTATTGTACACACAGTGACCTCTCATTCATAGACCCCAAGGCACTTCACAGAAGGTAAGAAAACTGTATTTAAATCCATTTTAGAGACGGTGAAACTGAGGCACAGAGAAGTGGTGCCCAAGGTAAAAGTCACTGGCAGTTGAGAGTAGAACTGAGATTTACCAATTTATAACCCTACACTTAAATACATCAGAATATGGAGATCGCTCACCTCTCCATGACTAATTCCTAGACGAGCAGAAAGCTGTCAAAGTTGGCAGGCTTTTTCTGCCATGTAGGTTGGTACCAAACCAAGTAGAAATTAATGTATTGGCAAATGGACCCAGCATTACCTTACTAATAAATGAATTGGGAGCAACAAGTCTGACCTAGTTCACTGAACGATGCCAGTAATATTCCTGGGCAGCTAGCTCGCTGACACCTGGTGCCCAAGCATGACAAGATTATGGATAAAGCTGGCAGTAGCACTGAAATGCTTTTATCCCGAATATAACTCCCAGGGATTGTGTTTTTGAGGAAGTCAGCTGGCAAGTAGGTATCTCACCTCTTTAACTTCTTCGGCATTTTGTTTCACAGTAGCAATGGTTTCTTCAATCTGTTCCACATTCTCTGAATTTGTAGCAGCCTTTTGTTTAAGATCTTCCACACTCTTCTCTAGCTCAGTAATACGTAGGGTAGCGTTGTTTAAGGTTTCTTCAGATGCTGCATTTTCAGATTCAATCTAACCAGGAATGAAAGAACAGTTTAAATATTCCCCCAACAAATGTATGCGTTGATTTTTGAAATCAGCTTTCTAGAGAAAAGTCTTGACCAACTATTTAAAATGTCTGTCTCCAAAGTCTATCCTCAAACTAGCATTATGCAACTCTGAAATATCACCAATATACTATGAAATTACATGTGAGGGTTTTAAGAGTACAAATTACAATTTACAATTCAAGTGAAGTAAGAGGGGAATCCATTTTGAAAGTGAACTAGGTTGTATGTCATTAAAAGCATATCTTATGAAATGAAGAGAAATAACCTTTCATTCCTTGTACAACCCAAGCTGGCTGAAATCATTGACTTTTGAATGTCTTAGAATGCAAGACTGGAGCTGTAATGTGTTTGTAATTGGTAAGGATAGAGTTCCACTAACTTCTGAGAGCATTCCTGATGCACATCTGATACTCCAAAGGGGGGGAGGAGATGCATCTCAGTGTAAGACGTCACCAAGACATCTGCAGTCTTTGGCTTCAATTAACTGTAAACTCACATGAAATACATGGGATTTCACCAAGCATTTGCACATGTCAGGAATCACTCAGCTTCCAGGGCAAAAAAATTCCAGATTTGGAAATGTGAAAGGTATTATTGAAATTAACAGCTCAGCTAGATCCATTATTGTTCATATAAATGGAAAGAAATCACTGCTGTGTTAATTACCCTTTCAGCAGTGGATAAAGAAGTGCTGGGTAGCTTAGGAACCTAATAAGCTGAATATTGACACTATCAGATGTCAGTGCTTTACAGTCTTGTCAATGGGACGATCTATGAAATGGTTCTTTATGAACTGGACTTGATGAAATGAGAATGGTCGAAGTCTTCAAACTTGAGTGAAAAAGTTCTAATTCTAATGGAAGATATTTAATTCTTATAAAAGCCCACTATTAGTGTAGAAGGTACTTGGGAGGGCTTATTCTATGACTGGGAAGGGCCCTTCTCATTATTTGTAAAGCATCGAGCAAGCACACTTGGACACTATTACTGATAATGAATTAGTCCTTTACTTAAATATTCACACTTCATGCATATGGGGCTCTGCAATGACATCATTTGACAAACACACAACAATTAATGCTTCAATAAAGCATTAATGCTCATGTGTTCTCACACTGTACTGGCAAAGTGTTTTGCATGGGTGGGAGAGTTGGCAGCATGGCTCAGCTACCAGATGATATACGTTAATAACGTAGCTGAAGTCGAAGTACCTTAGTTCGAACTTACCGCGGGTCCAGACGCGGCAGGCAGGCTCCCCCGTCGACTCCGCGTACTCCTCTCGCGGAGCAGGAGTACCAGCGTCGACGGTGAGCACTTCCGGGATCGATTTATCGCATCTAGACAAGACACGATAAATCGATCCCAGAAGATCGATTGCTTACCGCCGGACCCGGCGGTAAGTATAGACGTACCCTTAGCTAAAGCAGTTACCTAGCATCAAACTAGGTACATTGTGAATATTTTTTATATATAGTTAGGACTTACTGAGGTAAGTAGGTCCTGCGTTCCTCTAATGTCTTCTTCAGCTTGTTTGATGGCCTTTTCGGCTGCATTTTGGGCCTTTTCAGCTTCTTCCAGTGCTTCTTTCACGATAGCTGCAGTGACTTTAACATCTTTTGCACTTTTGCTGTGGAGCAGAAGTAACAATATAATATGTGACGTTAGAAATGTTTCATTTTGGTATGAATAAGAATTTACACCAGGATGAATTTAGCTAACTACGTTTTTGAAAAATATTTGAATGAAATCAAGAGTCTGGTTCAAAATCACTGATTTAAAAAGACAGCTGATACAAAACAGTGTAGTACGTTACCTTGCTTTATTCGCTTCATCTAACAGCATCTCAGCTCTGGCAATGTCTCCGGCACTTTGTTGTAAGATAATCTCTACATCAGAAAGGCTTTCCACACGCTCACGGATATCCTCTGTCAGGGTCTGTAGCTGCTGGGGGCTACCTGGCATCTTCATCTTCAACACTTCATTAGCAACTGCCTCAATGCTATCCAAATCGGCGCTATCCTCTACGATGGCACAAATGCAACAGGGTAAGCGGACAGTTGAGAGGATTAGCAAGCCATCCATGCCAATGTCAAATAACACTACTGAAATCCTTGTTAGTGCTGTTCCTTAAAAGCAAGAAACTGACAAACAGCCATGGCAAACGAAACACCACCACCACAATTTGCAGAAAATATGTAGAAAGTAGGTGGTATGCTCAGTTAGGGTAAAATTCACTCCTATGCAGAATGCCACCACAGAGCGTAGAGCCCTGCTTAAGTCCCATTTCAGCCTCTTGAGGGGTACTTTTCACCCATTGGCCTCCAGTGGCTTGAGCGCAGCTTGGGAATCAGTAGAACTGTGTAATTCCTAACACTGACTTACTGCATGGCTTTGTGCAATCTCAGACCTTGTCTGCCCTCCATTTCTCCAGCTATAAAAGATAATTTGACAGCCTCCTGGAAGCTGTAAGGATCAATTAGATAATGGACCCACGTTCCATTGAAATCCACAGGAGTTCAACAGGGATGAATTTGGTCCAACGTTTGTAGTGCTATGAATATGAGATGCTAGTGAAGTACAAAATATTATGAACTGAAATGGAATAAGAGTCATTCCTTTGGTGCACATTCATACATTTCTAAAGTGAAAGAGGGCCATGCACAACGTTTAGATACATGTAACAGCAGCATTTTATGCCTCTCAGGGATTGGGGTTTAAGCAAAAGTTGCCTCTATTGCTCACATGGTCCTGTGGTGCTGTTACATGTATCTAAACATTTCTTCCTGTGTTTGCACAGGACTGAACACATTCTTAGCACGTAAGAAAACACTGATGTTTGTAGGCCAGCAGTTGCACATAACAGACCTCCCCAATGGAGACTGTCCTCCATCTTCCAAAAGATCTCGCACTTCTCCACAGGTTAGCACAGCTAATGATTGAAATTTCAATGCTGATTGAGGAGAGTTAGCTACACAGTTCCCTTGAAATTAATGGGAGTAGCATGACAATCTCCTAGTAAGTTTTAAACCACTCCACTCCACCACCAATCAGCTCTATTGCAGAGGAGAAGGCAAAGTCTGTTAAAGTTCCAATTAAGATGAAACTGAAAGGCCTTTCTCTTCCTTACTAGGTGCATTTTTTTCACAACATTGTGCAAAGAATCAACTGCTAATCTGTATTGGTAACCCCACCTTTCACCTATAAAGCTGAAAATGGATCCCGCTGCCTATAAAAATCTTAAACTTAAATGAAATGCATAATCAAGACAAGACTCACAGAAATGATAGTATTCAGAAAGGATTTTAAGACTAGGTTAGGCAGCTACCTAGAGAAATGCATGAGAAAAGCTATGTGCAGAGTTGGAAGAGTCTACTATTTTGCATCTGTAAATGTTACAAAAATGTACAACATCCTAACTTTATAAAGGCCTCTAAAAATAAGCTAGCAGAATTTCTCATAAAGATAAAAATCACTAATGTCAACTAAGGTAAAGATCATCCTTACGCATCAGAAATTCCCTGATCTGCTTAATAAGGTTTCTCAGATCTTCATTGCTTCTGTCCACTTGTTCTTTTGTGGCATTGGTTTTGAGCAGAACTTCTTGTGCATTTTGTTTTGCTTCATCTGCTCTCTGTTTTGCCTCGGAGACCTAGGAGGAGGTAAATAAGGTGGCCTGGTTTCACACTTCCTTGCACATTAAGGCCCATTTTGCAAACCAAAATGCAATTCTGAAAAGACAATTGATATTTGGAGTCCAAAGCAGTGTGGGAAACTTGTTCTCATAAAACTCACGGAATGCTTTCCCACAACACTAATGTTACTTTAAACAACTCAGGCAAATATTTATGGATTACACATGGAATTTCAGTATAAACAAGTCCACTTTATGAGGCTTTTTTTTTTTTTTTTTATTAAAGGATAGTGCTGGTGAAGTTATGCAACTGGAAAGAAACATTTTAAAATGAATGTCTGGGGGGAAAATGTTCTGTAGTTTTGTATCATATCCCTGTTGGGGAAATTTCTTTCATTTTAAATTAATGTTTAGTGATCTACTTGGAAAGAATTACCATTTTAGAGAGTTCTTCAACTTCCGCCAATGCACTGAGTATGTCTCTGTCAAAATCCATGGCTTTCTGCCACGCACCGTGAGCCACAGTAACCAATCCCTCGCAGCCTGGTCCTCCGCATTTCTTTTCGCCTTCATCTGTTCGGCAGTTCAGACCGCCACACTCTGAGTCAGCACAGGAAGCCCCCGAGGGAGTTCCACATGTCTGCAATAGACCGACAAGGAATAGTCACGCTTAATTGCTCTTGCTTTGGGGGATGGGTGGGAGGGGGAAGAAGGAAAGTGGACCAGGAGGTTTCTGATGATGCTGGAAACATTTAGTGGTACCCGCACCCCTAGCAGTGAAATCTCAGGAGAACGCCTGAGAAATAAATGGTAGCTGTAGCTGCTGAACTGCAGCATCAAAAACTAGGGCATTCTCTACTTCACATGTGTATCATTGTGAGATTTGTTCCAGTGCAGAGTGATGTGGGAAGGGAAGCTCCTATGTATAAACACACAGCCCTCCAGGCACAAGCAGTTTGGGTTATAATGGCAGTACCAAGACAGTCATCCACCCTGCACTGTCTTATTGAATGACGTGAAATCGGCAAAGACTTGGTTCTTTCAATGGAAAATGACCCTCAGACTTCTGTTAAAAATGGAGAGGGAAGAGGAGGGCCCTTCCCTCCTGAAGGCAAACCTATGGATTGAGCTGGCTGAAACTCAAACTTGGTCTTGGGGAAATTATGACGTTTCAAAATTTGTTCCAAATTGGAAGAAATCCAAAAATATTTTGAAATTTCCTCAAATGAAATTTTCCAAAAGATACCATTTTGGGTCTATCTAAGTAAAATGTTTTGTTTAAAATCAAAATGTTTCATCCTGAGTTTGACTTTGAAAGTTTTATATAAAGGCTCAAAAAGTTGTTTCAGAACAAAAACATCAAAGTGTTCCAGTGTGACTTTATCAAAATGCTTTTTTCTCAAAATGAAATTTTGACAAAAATCAACATGTTCCTCTGCAAAGGTTTAATTTTGAAGAAACAGCATTTTGTAATGTAAATACATTTGATCAGAAAATGTTTAACCAGCTCTATCAATGAACTACCCCTAGAGTCTGGATAATAAATGGAATCATTAAAAAAAAAATCTTTAAGATGGAAGGTTGGACAAAGTTTTCCTTTTTTGGCAGGGGGTGGAAGGAAGGATGACAGTCACGAAAATAAACATTTTGCAGGCAATATCCCCCCAGTAAAGGTACACAAAACTGAATCGGGTTAATTTTAAATGTTCTCTTTCTCTAACAAACAGCCTTAACCTTTTTCTTTCCCTGATGTTTGGCATGCAATCCACTATTCTCAAGAATAGTGGCTCTCAACTTTTCCAGACTACTGTACCCCTTTTAGGAGTCTGATTTGTCTTGCATACCCCACATTTCACCTCAACTTAAACTACTTACTTACAAAATCAGACATAAAAATACACAGCACACTATTACTGAAAAAGTGCTTATTTTCTCAGTTTTATGATATAATTATAAAATAATCTAATAGAATATAAATATTGTACTTACATTTCAGTGTATAGTATATAGAGCAGTATCAACAAGTTGTATGAAATTTTAGTTTGTATGGACTTTGCTAGCTTTTATTGTAGCCTGTTTTAAAACTAGGCAAATATTTAGATGAGTTGATGTACCCCCTTGGCAGACCTCTGTGTACCCCCAGGGATACATATACGTCTGATTGAGAACCACTGCTCTAGAAAGCAGAATGTCCTGCAGGGGGCTGCACTTCCTTAAGGCTCCCAGCAACTAATGATACTGCCTAGAACCTTGATAAACTTTATTTAAACAAGAGTTTCAATGCCAATGGACCTGCGGGACAGGAATGTGAGGGAGGGGTTCCAACTAAAAGTCTCTTCACCCCCCCCCCCCAAGAAAAAGGAGCAGTGTCATGTTAGATAACAGTTGCTAAAAGGGGACATGGGGGGAGAAAATAGGAGGGACAATGCAATCTTTAGAGAAATCATCCTGTAACTTACTGATACCCCTAACCACTTAAGTTAATAAATATGCCCTTTCCATCATATTTGCAGGCTGAATTGTTTTCCAACTGCAGCTGATTTACTTCAAAGGAAAGTTGCAGAAGGAACACTGTGAATCTCCCAGGAAAAAGTCACCCTACCTCAGATTTACTTCAGCTTTACCGCTGTGCAGAGAATAAGCACCAGACTGCTTCTCAGAGTGTCCTTTTGACTCAAGAGCTCAGAAAAAGGTCTGCTTTGTCTTAGATCAGAGAAGTCCAGGGCAAGCACACAGCATGCATAAAGTGGCCACTGGCACATCTTCTGTCATCCCCACCTCTATTGGCGTCCTGCATCCACAGTCTTCTCCTCTCATTTTCACTGGACAAACCCACGTCTGGTGCCATATCCTGCTGGACAGGGACAGTGCTCCACAAAACATGAACTGTTGGGCTTTACGCTAGATGAATAGCCTCCCTGAGCATGCATCTAGCTAAATACAGTAACTCCTCACTTAACGTTGTAGTTATGTTCCTGAAAAATGCAACTTTAAGCAAAACGATGTTAAGCAAATCCAATTTCCCCATAAGAATTAGTGTAAATTGGGGGGGGGGGGGGGGGGGTTTTGGGGCAAGGGGAATTTTTTTTTTTTTTTTTTTTTTGCCAGACAGAAGGCATCATATATATTTTAAACAAGCAGTTTAATACAGGTATAAGTTTTAAACAATTTTAAAGTAACAATTTAATACTACAATCATCATTGCTGAGTATGAAGCAATGGGAGGTGCCCCCTCCTTACCCCACACAGGCACAGCTCAGTGGCACTGCAGACAATGAGGCAGGCAAGGAGGCTGAAGGTGCCATAGGCTAGGAGAAACACGTTGCGCAGCTTCCCCTACTGTGCAAGCACCAGGTGCGGGGGACTCAACCCTCGGCCTGCCCACTCTACCCCTTCCCTCAAGCCCCCACCCTTAACCCGCCTCTTCTCTCCCCCCCACCTCTTCCCCCTTTACTCTGCACGCCGCGCTCCTCCCCCCTCCCAGTGTTCAGGAGGCAGGGGACGAAAGGGGAGCCTGTGTGCAGAGTCCTCGCTCCTCCCTCCTGCTTCCTGAACGGTGCAAACCAGCTGATTGCCACAGGCAGGAGGTGGGGAGAGCAGGGGGAAGGTGCTGATCCATGGGGTCTGCCAGCGGGTCGGAGGCGCTGGGGGGGCATAGGGGAGCTGATGGGGGGGCTGCCAGCTGTGGACAAAGCAGGCAGCCAAATGACATTGCGGAGCATTGCACAACTTTAAACGAGCATGTCCTGTAATGGAGCAGGGACGCAAGATCGAAACAACGTTAAGCGAGAGGACCTTAAGTGGGGAGTTACTGTACTACACAACTGTAGGACAATACACCTCTACCCCGATAGAACGCTGTCCTCGGGAGCCAAAAAAATCTGACCGTGTTATAGGTGAAACCACGTTATATTGAACTTGCTTTGATCCACCAGAGAGCGCAGCCCCCCCCCAGCGCTGTTTTACCGCGTTATATCCGAATTCATGTTATATCGGGTCGCATTATATCGGGGTAGAGGTGTAGTTAAAAAAAAAAAAGAGAGAGAGAGAGAGAAAATATAGATGCACCCAATGAAAATTCCTGTAAATCCAAACATTACATTAGCCAGAGTGATGCTTAGGGAAGAAACTTGTTGATGAAGAGTGCTGCAGAGGTCTAGTGGAGTAGTTTTTGATCTTTTGGGTAGGGTGACCAGACGTCTCGATAAAATTGGGACCGTCCCGATATTTCGGGGTTTGTCCTGATATCCGCCGGCAGCGCTGGGGTTTTTTTTTGCTCCGCCGGCGGGACTGACATGGCTTTTCTTTCTTTCTTTTTTTTTTGCACCGCCCTTCCCCCCATGTGTCCCGATATTTTCTTTCCCTCATCTGGTCACCCTACTTTTGGGGCTCATGACCCCAAAAACCTGGTCTTATAATCAACCAAGTCTGATAATTCTTTGTGGGTGCAAAGGACTGTGGGATTTGGGTCATGGGAGGAAACAATGGGATGACTGAGTACTGTCAGGGAGAGGGGGTTGGAAATGGGACAGGTGAAGTGGGTGGGGTTTGGAAGTTAGTGCACCCCTTGTGGTCCACAAGTCATGGAACAGGTTCCAGTTCACAATCTCTCTCAGTACACCAGACAAGCATTTTTCCATAAGTAAAACCCCCTTCAACAAAGTAGCAGGCTCTGCCTTCCTGCCTGTCATTTCTGCAACAGCACCACTGATGTTTTCCTGCAGGTTCTACACGCAAAGAAATCTTAACCACGTACCTTCTCAGCCACTTCAGAAAGATCCAGACTTTGCAGCTTGCCTGCGAGTTCATCCAGAAGGCGCGACTGTTCCTCTTGTTTTGCCTTGAACTGGGCCTCTTGCTCACTGATTAAGTCTTCCACTTCCTGTCGTGTCTGAGCTGACAGTTCCACAAGGCTATCAGGGTGAACAGTGGAGGCATTGACCCTCTCTTCTGCCTCCAGGGACATCTGAAAATATTTGGTGATACTATCCAAGGCTCCTGCAGAAATTAGATCCAACTGTTCAGCAATCAGCCCTCATTGCTGAATTTATAGTACAAACAATTTGTTATGGGGAATCTAGTGGATGACAAAATTGTATAAGGCCATTTCTCTATTAAACTGAATACAAAGTTATACAAACGTTATTACTGTTAGTATGCTTGAACTATGTATGGGGAAAATTCTGCTATTCTTAATCAAACAAACCTCCCATTGATGGTCCCACTGATGCTTTGACTTCAATGGTCTACAGAATTTGACTCTCTAATATTAAAAAGTTTGAAAATTCTTCCAGACTAAGGGTCTGATCCCGCTCCCACTGAAAGCAAAGGAAGATCTGGCCCTAGATTTATAAAGATAGAGCTTATTTACTTCTGTGACTCATTGAATCCATGGAACTGCCTGGTGAGTAGGTGCAATTCATCCACGAGCAGTGGTCCAGCACAAAACCTACACACCACTGAAGTCCAGGCTTGCCGGGGAATACATATTGGCCAATCCTTGTGCAGGCTCTCTGCACAGAGGTTAATGTCACTCTCTGTATGAGTAGTAGAATCTAACCCTAAAGTGTGACATACTCTTATTCACAAAGATTCATGCAGTCTTTCATACAGAAATTTAATAATCTCATGTAATTAAATGTGAACTAAAGTAACTTCAGACATCTGTCTGTGTACTTAATTGTGGTATGTAACAAAATGCAAGTATACCACTGGACTTACTGTTGGTACATGTAACTGGTCTACAACTTCTATACATTAAGAGGTTTTAAGGTGACTTTGTTCCCTAAGTTCTTGAGCTAGTTTTGCAATGCACACAAAAACAGAGACTTCAAAGAAATCCCTGCTAGATCAGCAACTCTGCCAAGACTCGGAAGGAAACTGCACTCATAGAACATGTTTTATTACTGTTTAGAAGATTAACCTGATATTTAAAACCATACACTTATTTAATCATTTGCTGCCCTGGCTTTTTTCTTTTTGCCCATGAGACACCTCACCCCGGATATCGGAGATTTTTATAAACTCGAGTTGTTCTGCAAGTTCTTTCACAACGAGGTCTAGGCTCTCTGCATCTGTCTCCAGGGCCCTCAGGTGAGTGTCCGTGTTATTGCTTTTTAACGCTATCACAGAGAGCTTATCTTCTATTTCAGCCATCTTTTCTGTAACATCTGCTGTTAGCTTGCTGCAAGCAAAACACAGAACCTACATTTACTCGAGGAAAAAAAATCTATTAGCCTTGAATTTTTTTTTATAAAGAAAGCTGTACAGTAGTTACAATCCTTCCATCCCTCCCCAATCAGTGCTGTAAGCAATTTGTAACAGCTTGGCTTCCTAGAATACTGGTTTTGTTTCCTTTATCACAAAAACTACTTTTTAATCTACAACACATTTATAAACTCAAAGCACCCAATTGCTCAGAAAACAGCTGCTTTGTGTAAGATTAACCAGAGCCAGATTCCAGAACACTGGTGTAATGCTCTTGAACCATGGCAACTGCATAGGTCAGAGTGTCAATTACTATGATCCATACATAATTTGCTTCACATCCCACACAGCTACAAATGCATTTTTTGATTACTACAACTGAATGTCAGAAAACAAACAAAAATTCTCTGAACACAATGGATTCTTTTAACTACTTTATAAAGATTCCCTTTTGCCAATGGCATCTTCTGGGTGGAGGTGGGAGAAAACATCCCACCTCCAGCAAGAAAGGTAAAAGGTGAGCGATAGCAGCTCTTTCCTCTCTGTTCAGCAAGCCGTTCCCTGCTTGCCAGTCTTTTTGCTCCAACAAAAATCCCATACTTCTGTTGTGAGGTCTAATAAAGTGGAACCAGAGATGTGATTGCAGCCACAGTTCATTGACATAGGTACATTGTCATCAATGGGACCTGAACCTGGGACCTCCAGCACCAAAAAACATCCAGCGCTAAGTAGCAGGCTGTTATAAGGCCTCAACTAACCTCACTAGGCTTTGGATTAGGACCATCATCACTGGGGCAAGGCACCACTCTCCCCTTCGCCAGGCCAGATGGAAGGGAGCAAAAGTGAGGTGGTTTATAAAGGAGGGGAGAGGTAGAGTGGTTCCTCTGCATGCCCTCACCTCTATTGGAACCAGCACCCAAGTATTAACAACTCTCCAGGGATACAGGTTAATGGAGCTGGGGAGCAGCCACAAATCATTAACTACAAAACCTCTTCACGAGCATTTTAGCCTCCCCTTTTGGTTTGGATGGGAACGTTTTAAAGGTGGATGGAAAAGTCTCATATTCCATCAACTGCTTTACATTATTTCAATCAATAACTGTAAAGGTTGTTGGTATTTAACCATCCTAGATTTCACAGGGGCTCACCCTTCTCCATCTCCTTATTTTTAAATACAATGAATACAGGACTTCTGCATCTTACACTTCATGAAATGGAGACAACCAGTGTTACAACACTGGCGTTTTCTGTTGACAATGTTTAGTTTTTTAGATTAGAAAGAAGTCTGCATTACTATCTAGATGGCTGTAAAACAAAATTCCAAGAATTCAATCTCTGTCCCTGCATTCTCTCACATAGTAGCTGTGCTTGTCCTTTGCCCTGGGGGATCACAAGGAATCAACATGACTGGCTCCATGTTAATTGGTTGGCAGGCTGACAAAATACAAGCATGGCCGCCCCTTCCAAAGTTTCAAAGATCATGACAGTTTGGGGTCCCAGCTGCATTTTGTTTGTGCGCAGTAGAATCGGACTAAGAGCACTGCAGGCCCATTCCTGCCAGACAATGAGCGCTCGGAGCTCTCACGGGGGAGCTGAGGGTGCTCAGCACATTGGAGTATCGAGCCCTAACTGAGCTGGAAATATTCACAGAACATGTACTGTACTCACCCTGCTTCCTCAAAGAGATTTCCAATGTTTTTAAGGGGCTCAGCAGCTGGATTTTGAGCAAGGATACTTTTAATTTCATTCAGTTTCTCTTCCATAGTGTTGATAGTTTGCTGGTAAGGGCCACTGACCCCACTGATTTTCAGGATTTTTGCTCTCTCCAGGAACCTCTGTGTCCTATTAGTCAGTTCACTAATGATGACGTCCCACAGAGCGAAACACTGATGACATGGCGCGCAGTCAGGGAAGATGCCGGAGTAGCCGCGGGTGCACTTGTCACAGCGGGGTCCCTCGACACCCTCCTTACAGACGCACAGCCCCGTGGAGCGATTGCACTGAGGTGTCTGGATTCCACGGGGATCACAATCACAAGCTGCGAGGGGGAAGTAACAGCAGCAGGATGAAAATGATGATAAAGTTGGAAGGAAAAAATATATATTCCCTGACACAAACAGAAGAACTTTAATCATAATTACATGAATGTGAAATCAGCATGTATGCAAACTACAGTAGTCAGCTACGTCCGGACAGGGTTACCTTGCTGTGAATGCCAGGACCAAGTATTATAAAAGGAGGACAAAGTGATACAAAGAGGGAAGAAATCCAGGAAGGTTTTTAATTTCATTTCACATGACTCAGAAAAAGTCACAATGTGTATTAGGGATGGACCCATCCTACAGTGTATTTGGAACTGGACTAAGTTGGAATCTGTGACCAAAGGTTGAGGGTATTTTGTTTTTCTGGCCTCCCTGCCCTCTCCTCATTCGAATGACCCAGGCCCCTTGGTGGGTGGGTGTGGGTGTGTGTGGGGGGGAGGGGGCGGGAGAGAGAGAGAGAGAGAGAGTTGTGGATCCACTGTTACCAGAGCCAGGCCCAAAATGTATGTATATATGGATAGGATGGAATTAGGGCAAGGGAAGGGAGCTAGGAAGAAACACTAGCTAAGTAAGGAATACTTGGAATTAAAAAAACCTTGTTTGCAATGGGGAAAAGGCAGACAAATGTCCTAAAATTCTACCACGCAAGTGCCAAATGTCACAAGAGACCACACTCTCTTCGTAATTGTAGAGGGAGGACAAAGCTGAGCATAGGCAACTTTTTATTGATCGTGAATTCAGATGACAAGCAATTTCTATTGAGCTAATCAGGAAGGGGCAAGTACAAGCAAATGCAATTATCTGGTATACAAACATTTGTCTACATTTATATGCAAATCAGGTGCGACTCTCCAGTTCCTGGTGAATTGCTGATTGTGGCCCAGATGGTAAATTCTGGGCACCCCAGGTCTACAAATTGACTATACAAATGTCTTTCTAGTTGGCCCTAATACACACGTGAGAGGATTATTAAACTGATGTGTTACACTGCTGGGTTTTTAAAACATATTTGCATTTTGTACATAAACTGTCTAAGAGAAGCAGAATTTACAAGCAGCGGACGTTTGAGTTTTTACCTGACCTCTCCCTAAATAGCCAGGTAGGAGAAGCAGAGAGGAAATTACCAATCTTTAAAGCTCTTAATAAAGGGATGGCAGCAAAGAACAAAAGGGAGAAGCCTTGCAACTATTCTGGAACTGCCATTCATATCTTCGTGGTGAAATGAACCCAAAATAGATCAAACGTACATTCCTTTAACATCTAACAAGAGGACTTTGACACCCAGCAGATGAAAGCTTTGAGTTACACATCACATCTTTCAAGAATACCTCATAAATGTAACACATACTAATACTGTGTTCTTGATGGATTTATGGGCCATATGTATGTTCCTGTAGCAGAGTTATAGGCTATTGTTAAAGTCCCTTCTGAAAATGTCCATCTTCCTGCTAAACAGGCATTTCCCCCTTGAAAATGACATGGAAGCAAAATAAAGCAGGTCATCTATACCAGTGGTTCTCAACCAGGGGTACAGGTACCCCTGGGGGGTATGCAGAGGTCTTCCAAGGGGTACATCAACTCATCTAGATATTTGCCTAGTTTTGCAACAGGCTGCATAAAAAGTACTAGTGAAGTCAGTACAAACTACAATTTCATACAGAGAATGACTTGTCTATACTGCTCTATATACTATACACTGAAATGTAAGTACAATATTTATATTACAATTGATTTATTTTATAATTATATGGTAAAAATGAGAAATTATGCAATTTTGCAGTAATAGTGTGCTGTGATGCTTTTGTATTTGTATGTCTGATTTTGTAAATAGGTAGTTTTTAAGTGAGGTAAATCTTGGGAGTATGCAAGACAAATCAGACTCTTGAGGGGGGTACAGTAGTTTAGAAAGGTTGAGAGCCGCTGATCTATACTGCTTGCTTTCATGTCATTACTTCATAATACATCCTCAGTCCTTAACCAATTAATTCTTCTTCTTTTTTTTTTAAGACCTTAAAGGATCAAATTGCTTCATAAACAGAAACTGCTTTTTTATAGAGCATGGATACAACAGATACCAGAATACAGAAATGACTTCTGTTCCGGGCGAGTCAGTTTATGTCTGCACAATTTAGCAAAATGGTCCTTTTGTTCTCTGAATTGTACTCCAACACAAGAGATTGTTTTTACTTTACATCAAAGCGCTTAAGTATTCCCACAGCAATTTGCTATGGAATATATTCCCCACAGGCAAATCCTCAGGCTCCTATTTGAAGGAGGTCAGTTAACCCTTTCATCAACTATTACTCCTGGAAATAAGACACTCAGTTGAGTGGTCAATTATCCAAATTCCATTATACCGATGTAACAGAAAGTAGTGTACATGGTATGTATTTTTCCCCCTCAAAGAGCCCTAGATTATATTACCTGTATTATATTACATGTATTACATGTGAATTAAGCAAATCAGATCACTGTTTTATTTATAATTTATCTGCAGATTTAAAAAGCAATCAGTTAAGACCATTTAGGCAATTCTAATCTGGCTTTCCAACCAGATCACAGCAGGCAAATAACTCCTGCACCATCATTTACATGATAAAGTGCATCCAAACACAGTGCTCCACTTTGGAGATTTAGAGAAACAAAACAATAGAGGATGTAGCAGGGGGAAAAGGGGGCTGAAATTAAGCATTTCCCAGTCCCCAAACTTTCTCAGGATAACCAAGCTCTGTGCTTCAACTGTCAGCACAAACGTACTAAGTACTGCTAAGATATAGTATCTAAGAAGCCATTATCGACCACAGAAAAGCAGAAATCTATAGAATCTCAAGGGAATAAATCCAATGCTTAGAAAATGGTTTGTAAAAATGACACTTTTACATTTTAACTATGTGTTATTTGTGATGTTTTGTAACCTAAGTCACAAACTGCTACTTATCCAGACCAGAAGATAAAGCACAAGTTTATTTCTAAGTAAAACAATCTTGGTTTAAGGGAAAGCAAAGTAAAACCTCTCCAAGGACTAGCATAATAAGAAACAACAGAAACAAAAAGCAGAGCTTTATTTCAGTCACTTTTTAATTTGGGAGGAATTTTTATATGTTTGTGGTATGGTTTCTCCAGCTAGAGCCCACTTTTTGCTTCCTGTGTAGCAGTAACTGAACATAAGAACGGCCATACTGGATCAGACCAAATGTCCATCTAGCCCAGTATCCTGTCTTCCGACAGTGGCCAATGACAGGCGCCCCAGAGGGAATGAACAGAACAGGTAATCATCAAGTGATCCATCCCCTGTTGCCCATTCCCAGCTTCTGGCAAACAAACAGAGGCTAGGTACACCATCCCTGCTCATCCTGGCTAATAGCCAGAGATGGACCTATCCTCCATTAGTTTATCTAGTTCTTTTTTGAACTCTGTTATAGTCTCTGCCTTCACAACATCCTCTGGCAAGGAGTTCCACAGGTTAACTGTGCATTGTGTGAAAAACTACTTCGTTTTGTTTGTTTTAAACCTGCTGCCTATTAATTTCATTTGGTGACCCCTAGTTCTTGTGTTATGAGAAGGAGTAAACACCACTTTCTTATTTACTTTCTCCACACCAGTCGTGATTTTATAGACCTCTATCATACCCTCCAGTTAGTCATCTCTTTTCCAAGCTGAAAAGTCCCAGTTTTATTAATCTCTCCTCATTCAGCAGCTGTTCCATACCCCTGATCATTTTTGTTGACCTTTTCTGAACCTTTTCCAAGTCCAATATATCTTTTTTGAGATGGGGTGATCACATCTGCATGCAGTATTCAAGATGTGTGCGTACCATGCATTTATATAGAGGCAACATGATATTTTCTGTCTTATCTATCCCTTTCTTAATGATTCCCAACATTCTGTTTGCTTTTTTGACTGCCACTGCACATGAGTGGATGTTTTCAGAGAACTATCCACAATGACTCCAAGATCTCTTTCTTGAGTGGTAACAGTTAATTTAGACCCCATCATTTTATATATATAGTTGGGATTATGTTTTCCCAATGTGCATTACTTTGCATTTATCAACATTGAATTTCATCTGCCATTTTGTTGCCCAGTCACCCAGTTTTGAGAGATCCTTTTGTAGCTCGTCGCAGTCTGCCTGGGACTTAACTATTTTGCAACATCACTGTTTACCCCTTTTACCAGATCATTTATGAATATGTTGAATAAGACTGGGCCCAGTACAGGCCCCTGGGGGACACCACTATTTACCTCCCTCCATTCTGAAAACTGACCATTTATTCCTACCCTTTTAAAAATATCTTTTAACCAGTTACCAATCCATGCGAGAACATTCCCTCTTATCCCATGGCTTTGCTTAAGAGCCTTTGGTGAGGGACCATGTCAAAGGCTTTCTGAAAATCTAAATACACTATATCCACTGGATACCCCTTGTCCACATGCTTGTTGACCCCTTCAAAGAATTCTAGTAGATTGTCGAGGCATGATTTCCCTTTACAAAAACCATGTTGACTCTTCCCCAACAAATTCTGTTCATCTATGTGTCTGACAAATTTTGTTCTTTACTATAGTTTCAACCAGTTTGCCTGGTACTGAAGTCAGGCTTTACTGGCCTGTAATTGCCGGGGTTCACCTCTGGAGCCCTTTTTAAAAATTGGCATCACATTAGCTATCCTACAGTCATTTGGTACAGAAGCTGATTTAAATGATAGGTTATAGATGACAGTTAGTAGTCCTGCAATTTCACATTTTAGTTCCTTCAGGACTCTTGGGTGAATACCATCTAGTCCTGGTGACTTATTACTGTTTAGTTTATCAATTTGTTCCAAAATCTCCTCTACTGACACCTCAATATGGGACAGTTCCTCAGATTTGTCACCTAAAAAGGATGGCTCAGGTTTGGGAATCTCCCTCACATCCTCAACCATGAAGACCGATGCAAAGAATTCATTTAGTTTCTGTGCAATAGCCTTATCGTCCTTGAGTGCTCCTTTAGCATCTTGAT